GCCCCCCCCACCAGCTTTCTGATGCTGCCAATCCACACGGCGGCTTTTTAACTCTCTGCGCAAGAGACACCAAGATCTGCCCAGCTTCTTATCAAATTCCAAGGCCACCGTGTCTGGCCAGCCTATGAACCCACTGACCTTGGGCTGGGTTGCCTATCAGCTAGGGCAGAGAATGGCAGGGAGAGGGGTGGCCGCCTTGGGTGAGGGCACGGTGGGGGCACTGTGGGTGTGCTAAGGGCAGCAGTCGGCCACCTGATTGCCAGGGGGTTCCACTTGCAGGGCAAGTCTGTGTCCAGAGTAGTTGTCTGGGGGAGCTTCCCAACAGCTGAGGTCAGGTGAGGCTAGGTGACCCGATGTCCCACGGTAACATGATCCCGGATCCCAGATTGTCCCAACCATATCAGAGATGCCTGAGAATGCATGCCAAGGTATATGCAGTATGCTGTTTACTGTCACACGTTACCCATGGAACGGGGGTGGGGGGTGGAGGTGAGCCCTCAGGCAGAGAAGTGGAAGCCGGGGTGTGAGGGAGGGCAGAGGGGGGGGCCTCCATCTTGCTCACTTCCTCCTGAGTGGTCTCCCAGCAGCTGGCCAGGCCTGACCAGCAGCCGTGGGGCCACGAGACAGGCCGCCCTCAGATGCAGGCGCAGTCCTGTGTGATGAGGTTGGGTATGGTCTCATACTTGAAGGAGTAGCCCCCATCTGAGGTGGTGCGGACGTGGAGGGGCTTCCTGGTCCCTACATGACTGGCACAGCAGGGCTTGATCCCTGATACCAGAGAGAGGGGCTGTGGAGTGGCGGAGGTGCCTGCCTGGGAGCTCAGCAGGGGCTGACCCGGGGAGATGGGCAGCCGACAGGTCCCGTGGCAGTAGTAGAAGGTGAAGCTGGGCGGGTGCACGATCCAGTGCTCCCAGCCGAGCTCCTGGAAGGAGATGTTGAGCGCGGCGCGGTGGCAGTGGGCGTGGATGGACGGCTCATCCGGAGGCCTCTGCAGCAGGTCCAGCAAGGTCGGAGACCAAGGCCAGGCCAGCGGGGCGGTTGAGCCTGGTGCATGTCTCCTCTCTCTGCTGGCTGCTCTGGGCCGGGTGTGGGCCGTCAGGAAGGGCCTGGTCTCGGGCCGGGCTGAGCAGGAGCAGAAGGGACAGCGTAACAGGAACACCAGATCCGGCTGGGTGAACAGGGGGAGGGCAGAGGCGTCCAGGCGCAGCACGATCCAATGAGGAGACGCTTGGCCCAGCGACACGGGCACTGCCCTGAGCCCTTCGGGAGACAACACTAACAGGCTGAGCTGGGGCTCCGAGCTCCTAGAGGTTGCTGGGTCCTGCTTGGCCAGCCTGGTGTGTACCCACAGCTGGGCCGAGCTCACCTGCCGGCTGCGAGTATGCTGGGATGGCCGGAAGACATAGGTGAAGAACCCCTTGATGGCCTCCTGGGCCAGCTTACCAGTGCCGGGCTCCCACTCACAGCTGGAACCTGCAGAGACAGAGGGAAGGGAGAGGGCCACGCAGGGGTCTGGGCCTCCTCCACTCCACGAGGGCTGGCCACCTGTCACGTACTCTGTCCAGGACCTTACCATCCTTGGGGGTTTCCTAGACCTGGGGGGGGGGGCGACAGAGGCAGCCCCTCCTTTACTGACTCGTAAAAGAACTCAACAACACGGCCCAGTTAACCCTCGTCTGTAACACGTCAGACAACCCGGCCCCTGGGCCCTCGCCAACACTGGGCGTTGTGGGGCGCACCACTGACAAGGCAGAGCTGTACCCAGAACGGGGGTGCTGCTGAGCCCACACTCTATGGTTAAGTTCCTGTGTGGCAGAAATAGTACGTGATACTCGATCTTAAATCATTCCTTTTATTTTTTAATGATGCATTCGCACCCCCAAAAAAGGGGAAAAGGAAGACAGAAGTAACTCGGCTTAAAAGGCAGTTCTTCCCAAAGAGGACAGTTGGCATCCCTACTCTACAAAAGGCGAAGTCAAGGGCCAGCCTGGGCAGAGGCCTGCCCCGGGGCTACACTGTCACATGCAGTCACATGGGCTCCTCACAACAAACTGTCCCTTTTGCAGATAAGGACACCGAGGCTTGACAGAGGGAGGTGGCGTTCGTTTGGCTTCTTCATGGCCAACTGGGATCCTGCAGAATCCTCAAGCCACATTTTTAGTTTTAGGGTACAGAGACAAGAACCGATTCCAGAGAAGGGTGGGGCAGGTACAAGAAGTACCCCTGCCACCACCTCTCCCTCCCACACCCCAGCTTTGTTCTCACTGGCAGTGGAACGTGGGGAGTACGGGAGGGATGGGAAGAGGAGGTAGCCACAGTTCCCAGAAGTCCTGCAACTCTTCTTTTCCTGTGGGTCTGCAGGCTTCTCAAGTCCCAAAGGACTTGGGTTTGAAGCAGCCAGCAGGGTCAGAGCAAGAAGTGGCCAGAAAGGGCCTGGCCTTCCGACACCTGTCTCTAGAGGCCCTTGATCGCACACAGAGCACCCAGACCCACAGTAGATCCCATGTCAACAGGTGAGAAGTTGGAGGTTTAGTAACCTGCCCATTGTAGTCAAAGCCGTCGAGTAGCAGGGCTGGGGTTCAAACTCAGGTCTGCCTGGCTCCCAAGCCCACCTGGCTTACCTGTGGCGGGGAAAAGGATGGATTGGGAGACATCCTCGTCCTTGTCTCTGGGCTCCCGGGCCTGGGACTCCAAGCCAGTGAGCATGAGGCCCCGGAAGGCATCCTCCTCTTCTGTGTTCTCCAGGGCATGTCTTCGGTGCAGCCGCCTGCCTCCGGGCTCCCCATCTTTGCTGGTCACTGCCGGGGGCCCCAGGGCATCCAGTAACAGGTCCTTCACCTTGGCCAGGATCAGCTCCCGCTCCACCTCCACCTCCACCTCCACTCCCGGCCCGCTACAGCCCCCTGTGCCATGCAGGGCCAGCAGCCCCCAAAACAGCATTGGCCCCAGGAACACCATGGTCCACCTGGCTCTTGGCAACAACACACACACACACCCTGCTGTGTGTCCCTCTATCAGCGTCTGCTTGGGCCCTCCCCATCCCACATCCCGCCTCTTCTACCCTTCTCATCCCCCATCTTCCCACGCCCATCTGTCCCAGCTGCCCCTGCCCATGGCATTGAGACTATCTTGGACACAGACGTCTGTGGCCCTGAGCCTTATCTCTCACTCCCAACAGGAATGTGAGGGAGGGGGCTGGTAAGGCTTTTCACCCCTAGTGACCTGGCCCAGCAAGTACAGTCCCTCCCCCCTACCACCCTCACACACTGTGCTGAGGTTTACAAGCCAGGTGACCTCAGGTGGATCCAAGCCCGAGAGGTGGGGTTCTGCCAGTTCCTGAAGGTCTTATTTGTCAGGGAGACAGGCTGGCCAGCCCCCTTCCAACTTCTGGGGGCCCCTTGGGACCAAATTGCTGTGTGGCTAGTCCTGGGGGGAAGGGCTAGGGCTGGGGCTAGAACTGGGGCTTGAGCAGGGGGCCTGGTGGTCCCGCCCGCTCTATACTTAGCCCGGAGGGGCCCGTCTGGGCTCTTGTCCTCCGGCTGTGTCATCAGAGAATATTTTTGGGATTGGCAGCTGCAGGCGCCTCTGCCACTCAGGCCCTAGGCGGGCGGGCGGCTGGAGACCTGGCGGCTGGAGGTGGGAGGGAGGAGGGGAAAGAGGCCCGGGCTGTGGGAGGGGGCTGGGAAGGAAGGCTCCGAGAGCAGGAAGCCAGGCCGCGGGCAGAGGCGGCTGCGGGCCCCAGCGGCGCGAGCTAACAGGAAACACTGCCCCTTGCTCGCGCGCCAGGGCCTGGGAGGCTCGGTGCCGAGCCGCCGCACGCAGCTTGCAGCTCGGGCCGGCCGAGGGTAAGAAGGCGAAGGAAGGGCCTGGTCTCGGGCCGGGCTGAGCAGGAGCAGAAGGGACAGCGTAACAGGAACACCAGATCCGGCTGGGTGAACGAAAGTACCATGGGCGACCAGAAGAACACACGGATCTGTCTTGGAGAGAGTATAGCCGAAATTCTCCTTAGCGGCAAGGGTAGTGACACTTCATTTCACATACTTTGGGGATGTTATCGAGAGAGGCCAGTTCCCTGGAGAAGGGCATCATTCTTGGTCCAGTCGAGGGTCAGCGCGACAGTGGAAGGTGGAGTGACACTGTGGCATGACAAGTATGAACATGACCCAGGGCCAGGCAGGGTGTCCTTCTGTTGTACCAAGGGTTGCTATAAGGCCTCAGAGCTAGGAGCCCTATGGTCGAGAGCTTGGTTGATGGTTCAAACCTGCCCAGTGACTTACTTCATGAGGAAAAGATTGGGTGATCTGTTCCCTAAAATTGGCAGTCTCTGGGGCGGTTTGCTCCTCTGTTTCATGGATGGCTAAGTCAACTCAGTCATACCGAGCAGTGATGCTTCAAGAGGCTCGGGAGTGACCCCTGGGCTCTGGGATTTCATGGCTGTCAAATTCCAAAGAAAGCTCTTAGGGTCCAAACTAGAATTCCCAAGTTTTAATTGTGTTAAGAAGTTAAAGACCGAAACAAAACACTGCCACCCACCATCACCACATCTAGAAGAAATCTCTCTTCCCCCTAATTCTCCCTCATATACCCCTCTCTCTCTCTCCTCCCTCCCCCACTTCTCTTTCTAAGGATTGTTTTAGCAAAAAAGGCCAGGCCCACGGCTCCGTGAGTCTATTCCTTGCTGGCCACCCTGTACCAAACCCTTTGTAAAGGGGTACATGTACTTCATGAAGGGGTCACTCTGCACTCACCTCTCTCTGCTGCCAACACCGTTCTACATTCTACTAGGTGACAAGTGGAGATTCCTCCACCCCCCCACCCCCGGAGTGCCCCCACCTTCATATCTCATGCCCCTGGGACAGGGGACCTCTGGACGAGTGGGACTGACAACACAGGTCGGGGGTCCCACGACCCCACAGCTCATCGCGAGAGTGAAGATAGCGGGGAAAGGCCCCACTCTCAGAGCCATGGGGGTCTGGCCAGGGAAGCCAGGCAGGAACAGAGCTGACCACAGATGGGCTAGACAAGAAACTTCGCATCCCCACTGCTGCACGGTCCAATCTGCTCTCCACCCGACCACCAGCCACTGCCTGCCTGAAGCCCCCCAGGACCCCACAGCACAGAGAGGTACCAGTGCAGGGTCTGGAGGAAGGTGTGGGGTGACCTCAGAGCTATGCATCCAAGGGCAGCAGCAGGCTCCCTGGGGACTCCATGTCCACAGGGGCAGGGCATGTGTAGAACGTGTGCACGGCTGTGCTGGCCAGCCAGCGAGGGACAGAAAGCAGCTCATTCAGGAAGCTCAAGTGGGGGATAGGGTGTGATCCTAAGTGTGACTGGATGGGACTCTGGCTCATAGAGGGAGTCTTTGACAAGTCGTACACCTTGTTAGCATAAGTACACACTAGAGGTGTGCAGTCTGCCTCAGCAAGTGCCCTCAAAGTTTCCGTCTGAACACCACCACCACCACCACCCGGCTCCCACCCCACACACCTTAATGGGAGACTGGCTAGAACCAAGCGGCTGAGTGCCAGGACCCTAGAGCAGGGGGGCAGGAGGCTGGAAAAGGACGCTGCTGATGGAAAGGTTGGAGATTCAATCCGTCCTGTGATGCTTGGGAAGAAAGAACCAGTGTCCTAGTTGCAAAAACTAAGCTGCTGAAAGCCCTCAGGAGCTCGTTTCTACCCCGACTCATGTGAGTGGGGTCACCTCAAGTCTAGTCTTGTGAGAAGGGAGGAGCCGGACAAGGAGGAGACAGCGCGGTTGGCAGGAAAGATAGAGAACCATCTCCTGTGCCCCTCACCGGGCTCTGAGAGTATGCACCACCCAAAGGCAGCTCTGTACCACCTCCCATTACAAGCAGATACACAGGGAACATCAGGGAGCCAGAGGGAATGAGGCCCAGAGGCCCAGGACAATAAGGTCCACAGTCAGCTATAGATTCAAAGGGGCCCCAGGACCCTTGGCACGTTGGCAATCACAGGTCACCTCCTGACAAATCCTGATATCTGACCTGAACATGCTGCCACCTCTGTTCTTATCGCACG